GGCGTCACCCCCGTGTCCCCAAACCCCTGCCTGTCACCTCAAGCACTGGCAGGGGGCCCTGCCAGCCCAGATAAACCTTCTTGGCCCCGTCCGGAGGCAAAAAATTCCAGAAATCCCCAAACAGGAGTTGTTTTGAAAACCAAACCGGTTGTTTTTTGATTCCGCCCCGACGTGGGTGCCATGAAAAAAGCAGGTTTTCTCTTTCCCCAGGTTTTCTCTTTCCCCAGGTTTTTCTCTTCCCCCCTGTGCATCCCCATGTCCCTCCTCTTGCAGCTTCCCCAGGGAGGAGCAGCGGGGGGGAATCTCTGTGACCTGGAGGGGTGGGTGGTTTAACGCGTGTAACCGACCCCTCCCGGTTGTGTCCCTGTCCCTGCAGATGACGGCTCGGCTGATGCTCGCCGTGGGAGGAGCAGTGCTGGGCTCCCTGCAGTTTGGCTACAACACCGGCGTCATCAACGCCCCGCAGAAGGTGAGGATGATCCCGGCAGAATTCCAGCTCCCAGCAGAATTCCAGCCCCCCCCCCCCGCCCCCCCCGCCCCCCATTCCCCTCCACGCACCTCAAAACAAACCTGCAGCCACTGCCAGCCCGGCTAAAATAGTACATCCCGCTAGGCAGCTTAGTGCCTGTAATGGGATTTGTGAGGGAGTTACTTAGCTCTTCCCGGGGGAATTAGTTTCCTCCTTTCTTAGCGTGTGTTTTTGCTGGGAAGAATCCCAGGAACGCGTGCAGGATGCTCGCCGGGTGGGACTGGCCCAACTTTTAACCTCGTCTTTTCAGGGAAGGTCTGGGAGCTCATGAGGGTTTGAGTCATCTGGGAGAGGGGCGGGGAAGGCTCCAATGGGAGCTTGGCATCCTGGGGCAGGACATCCCGGCTGGGATGGGATGGGATGTGTGTGAAAGGGGGATGGAGAGCAGGAGCTGTTTGCTCCTTCCCTCTGCGCAGTGCCAGGGCCCTCCAGCCACTGGGAGGTACGTGGGAGCCTTGGAAAACTCCACTTTCCCCAGATATCGTGGTGGTGAAGGCTTGGGAATGTTAGCTTGGAAATGCCACGTGGTGTTTGCAGGGTGCCCTGGGTAAAGCTCCCCTGGGTAAAGCTCCCAATGTGGGAGGGCAGAGCCCTGTCCCTGGGCACCACCACAGCCTCCGGGGCTCCAGCCCAAATAATTCAAACCACCAAAGCAGGATTATTAATCCCATTACCAACAAATGAGCTGCAAACTCTCACCTTGAGCTCGGAGAGAAGACCCCATGGAAATACTTCCCAGTGCCCCATCAGCTTGGAAAGAGCCAGAAAAGACCCGACTTTGTGCTGGGTGCTGCTCTCAGTTGTACTGACTGGCAGGATTTAGTGTGGCCAGAGGCTGTGGCTCCCACCCCACAGCCTGGGTGCTGCCCCCACAGTGCATGTGTCCAGCTGCCAAAAGCATCTCCCTGCTAAGAACACCCTGATCCAGCTGTGCCAGCGACATTCCCGCTTGGCCAGTGTCCTGCTCCAGAGACGGGCACTGGGAGCAGCGTCTGGGGCAGTGTGGAGCTGGGAGATGCTGGGAACGTGCTGAGGAGCTGCTTTCTGGTTCTGCCCTCCATTTCCCCCCACCTGTATCCACACCATGGGGAGCTGGTGCTCTGTAATCCCCACCTTGTCTTGGAGCCCAGCCCAGGCATCCCCAGGATTCCCCTGGACTTGCCTCCATCCTCCCCTGACCTGGGAGGTGCTGCTGTGGGTGATGTGAGCAGGGAGTCCCAGTTCCCTTGTCACTGAGCTCTGATTCCTGCAGATCCCAGCAAAGCAAGACCACCCCCTCCCTGTGGGTGTTGCCTCAGTTTCCCTGGTACATTTTTGGGATTAAGTTCTGGGGATTGGGACAGACTGGGTGTTTTTGGGATGAGTCATCCCACAAGGGACACTGCCTTGGGGTGCAGAGCTGACAGGGAAGGGATTTGAGTTGCTCTGGATCAGGGCAGGGTGGGTATTGTCCTGGGTAGCAGGGCTCTGGGCACAGGGATTCATCCTACCTGGAAGCAGTGGGGAGTGGAACTGGGGATGCATCAGGGTTCAGGATTGTGATGCACTGGAGTTGGAATGGGGATGCCTGGGGGTGCAAGCTGCAGATACAGTGGGATGCAGAGGGATGCAGGATTGAGATGCATCAGGATTCATTTGGGATCAAGATTGGGGTTGGGATGCAGGATGGGCCTGCACTGGATTGCAAGGTTGGGAAGAGGATGCTTTGGGATGTATTGGGATGCATTGTGGTGCAAGATGAGGATGCATCAGAATGAGTTTAAGTGCAGGATCAGAGTTGGGATGCAGGATGGGGATGCACTGGGGTGCAGGACTGGGATACATTGGAGTTGGAATGGAGATGCATTGGGGTGTGGGATGGGGAAGGGTTGAGACTGGGATGAATTGGTGTGCAGGGTTGGGGTGGGGATGCCACGGAGTGCAGGATGGAGATGAGCCAGGATAAGTTAGGGCACAGGATTGGGATAAACTGGGGTGCAGGATGTGGCTTGGGGTACAGGATGAAGATGTATTGAGGTGCAGCACTGGGATGGGGTTGCATGGGGACCCAGGGTTGGGATGGAGATGCATTGGGACACTGGACTGGGATGCAGGGGGTGCAGGACTGGGCTGCGTCACTCAGGGGTGCAGCCGAGCAGCAGTGCTGGTGCAGCATCTCACTGCAGGCTCCATTCCCCCCTGGGAGCTGAGGCTGGTTCCATGGCTCTCTCTGGCTCTCTCCGTGTCTCCCTTGTGCTGCTGAAGCAGCCTGTGCTGTGGGGAGGGTGGGTGAAACTGGGTGAAGGGACCTCTGGAGATCATAGAGTCCAACCCCCCTGCCAGAGCTCAGCTGAAGTGAAATAAGGGTGAGAGAGAGGAAAAGAAACAACTTTTGGGAAATGCAGTTGTGGAGTTTCTTTTTTTCTTCCTTCTCACTTTAAACTCAGAATTTTTCATCTCCTCTCTGCTCTGGAGCCAGGCTGGGAGAGTTGGGGTGTTCAGCCTGGAGAAGAGAAGGCTCCAGGGAGACCTTAGAGCACCTTCCAGTGCCTGAAGGGGCTCCAGGAAAGCTGGGGAGGGGCTTGGGACAAGGGCAGGGAGGGATGGGACTAGAGGTGACGGTTTTAAACTGAAAGAGGGGAGATTTAGGTTGGACATTAAGAAGAAGTTCTTCACCATGGGGGTAGTGAAGTCCTGGCCCAGGTTGTCCAGGGAAGCTGTGGCTGCCCCATCCCTGGCAGTGTGGAAGGGCAGGTTGGATGGGGCTTGGAGCAACCTGGGCTGGTGGGAGGTGTCCCTGTCCAAGCAGGGGGTTGGGACCTGATGATCTTTAAGATCCCTTCCAACCTCAACTGTACTATTCTGTGATTCTATAACAACCACCTCATGGTGGTGTTTCCATCCATTGGGGTTATTTCAATAGGCTGAAGCACAGTCAGTGCTGCTGCAGCCACTGTCCCTGGGACTATTTTTTTTTTCTGCTTCAGTGGAAGAAAAGCAGAGGATTTGGGGAAAGTTGGGAGGAATTTAGAGCCCTGCAAGGTTTTGTGGGGTGTGTGCAGAGACCTACTCACCCCCACCCAGAGCCTGAGCAGTCTTGGGCTGTCCACATATAGAAAGAGGAGGAAACACCTCTAAGCATCAAAACCTCCAGGCAAAGCAGGAGGGCAAACAAAATCACTTTAAATCCTGATGGTTTTGGGGCTTTGTTAGAGAATCAACTTTAAAAAATTCAAATTATTACTGTTTGTAGCAAAGCAGGGGGTGTGTTTCTGGCACTGCCTCTGGTGGGGGGCTCTCATTTGTGCTTGGAGTGATGAGAAAACTGAGACATGGGACATGATTTTGCCAGTGCTTCCTCCTGAGCTGAGCACAGAGACCCCTGGGAGCAAGAAGGTCCATGTGTCACTTGGTGTCCAGCAGCAGCTTCTCCTGCCCGCAGGAGATCTCTGCTCCATCCAGCCAGGGTTGGTCAGGTGGGATATCAGGTCTTTGTTTGTTTTTTTTTTGTTTTGGCTCTGGGTGACTCTTAAAGAACTTAAAGCTTTCAGCTTTAAAAATCCATGTAAAAAAAATATGTATAAAAAAGGGTGTTTTGCCAAGGCAGGAGTTAAATCAAACTGCAGCTGGGGATGCTGGTGTTGGCAGAAGGGTGGAGGTTGCAGAGCTCTAGCAGCAGTGTCGTGGAAGTATTGCAGAAAAAAACCCTAGAAATTAAATTCCAGGGAGTGTCCACAGGGATGGGAAGTGATCTGGGTGATCCCCTCCCCTTCCTCCTCCTCCTCCACCTCTGCTGTCTCTGATCCCCGTGTTGTTTCTCCCCGTCGTGCCCCGGGGAGGAGCGTGACCTCCCCAGGCTTCCCAGGGGAGGCCTGAGAGGTATTTTGGCAACGCTGTGGCTCCCCTGGCAGGGCAGGACCAGAACCTGTCCGGCTGCATTTCCCTGTCTCATCCCAGCAGGTTTCCTCCCTTGGGCTGGAGCTCAGCCACGCGCTGGGCGGCTCCCGGCCCCGTGACGCATCGTCCCGTGAGCCGCGCTCGCCCGGCCCGGGGGCTGGAGGTGGCTGGGGCTGGGACCAGTGGCACAGGTGGAATGGGGGTGGTTTGTCTCTCCTGCCTGTTCTGCAGGTGATTGAGGACTTCTACAACCGTACCTGGCTGTACAGGTACGAGGAGCCCATCAGCCCTGCCACCCTCACCACGCTCTGGTCCCTCTCCGTCGCCATCTTCTCCGTTGGAGGGATGATCGGGTCCTTCTCCGTGGGGCTCTTCGTCAATCGCTTTGGACGGTGAGCACCAAGGGTGGTGGTCCCTGTGCTGGACCCCAGTAAGAGTCTGGCATCCCAGGGACACCTCCCTCCTGCCAAGGGTTGATGTTTAGGTTCTCCTGATAGCCCTCCAGACTCTCCAAGCCCCGTGGTCCTCCTCACTCTCCTCCCTTCCCTCCCCAGGCGCAACTCCATGCTGATGTCCAACATCCTCGCCTTCCTGTCTGCTGTCCTCATGGGTTTCTCCAAGATGGCTTTGTCCTTTGAGATGCTCATCCTTGGCCGCTTCATCATCGGCCTCTACTCTGGCCTCACCACTGGTTTCGTGCCCATGTACGTGGGTGAAGTGTCACCCACCGCGCTCCGGGGCGCGCTGGGGACCTTCCACCAGCTGGGCATTGTCTTGGGCATCCTCATTGCACAAGTAAGTGCTGGAGAACCAGCTGGGGAGGATCAGAGATGGGGTTCAGTGGATCTGCATGGATGGAGCTGGGGCTGGAGGGAGGGGCCTGGAGCTCAGCAAGAGGAGGGACACTGAGATCTTGAGGTTTGGGATGGGCAGCATCCTGCTGTGATGTCTGTTGGCCACCTGGAAGCAGCAGGGCTGTCCATGTCCCTCTGATGGGTGTCCAAGCCTGTAGTGCAACCCTGAGCTGCAGAGTTGGGTCCACTTGGTACTGGGCAAGGTGAGTCAACCCCTCTTGTCCTCAGGTGTTCGGTCTGGACTTGATCATGGGAAACGACTCTCTCTGGCCACTGCTCCTGGGGTTCATCTTCGTCCCTGCCCTGCTGCAGTGCATCATCCTGCCCTTCGCCCCCGAGAGCCCCCGCTTCCTCCTCATCAACCGCAACGAGGAGAACAAAGCCAAGAGTGGTGAGTGAGCCCCGTCCCTGAGCTCGTCCCACCGCGCAGGAGGGTCCTGTCCCCCCCTGCTCCTGAGCCACCCCTTCCCCTTAGTCCTCAAGAAGCTGCGAGGCACGACAGATGTCAGCAGTGACCTCCAGGAGATGAAGGAGGAGAGCAGGCAGATGATGAGGGAGAAGAAGGTCACCATCATGGAGCTCTTCCGTTCCCCCATGTACCGCCAGCCCATCCTCATCGCCATCGTCCTGCAGCTCTCCCAGCAGCTCTCGGGGATCAATGCTGTGAGTTCTGGGGGACCTGGGTGCCTTGGGTCAGCTTGTTCCACACAGAACATGGGTCATGCTGGCTCCAGGACCTGTCTCCTTTCCTCATGGCACATCCCTGCCTGTTGTAGGTCTTCTACTACTCCACCAGCATCTTTGAGAAGTCAGGTGTGGAGCAGCCAGTCTATGCCACCATTGGCTCTGGTGTGGTGAACACAGCTTTCACAGTCGTTTCGGTGAGTTTTAGCCCACCAAGCTCTCACCAGGGAAGATGGAGAGAAGAGGGCTTTCCCTTGGGCTGGGCTAGTGCTGATGGATGCCTGTCTCCATCCAACAGCTCTTTGTGGTGGAACGAGCTGGACGCAGGACTCTCCACCTCATCGGCCTGGCGGGCATGGCAGGGTGTGCAGTGCTCATGACCATCGCCTTGACACTGCTGGTGAGTGGTGGGTGTTGAGGGGATGGGTGGGCTGGCAGGAGGTCCCACACGCTGCCCCTCGCTGTGGTGGTTTGGAGGAGGAGATCTGGATGGAGAGGAGGAAGGACTTACCCTCCTAGGGGTGATTATCCCAGAGATCCAGTCTCTAATCTGGAGAAACCTCACAGCTTCTCCAGCAGCACCACACTTGCTTGAGTCTCATCACCTGGTTTAGCCAGATGCTTTGTCCCTGTTCACCAACCTGACCTTCTCTCTCTCCCTTGGACTAGGAACAAATGGCTTGGATGTCCTACATCAGCATCGTGGCCATCTTTGGGTTTGTGGCCTTCTTTGAGATCGGCCCAGGCCCCATCCCTTGGTTTATTGTGGCAGAACTGTTCAGCCAGGGCCCTCGTCCTGCTGCCTTCGCTGTTGCTGGGCTGTCCAACTGGACCTCCAACTTCATCGTGGGGATGGGCTTCCAGTACATCGCGGTAATCACCTCCCACTGCTCCCGTGGGATCGGGGTTGCTGAGCCAGTTGTGGGACTCACCTGGAGTCCTGAAACCTGGGCTGTGGTTGGGTGAACTCCCTGAAGGAAGAGGGATGGGGCCAGGATCTAGGGAAGAAGCAGGGGGGTTGGACCCAATGACCTTCATGGGTCCCTTCTGACTTGGGATGTCCTAAGGAAGGGAAGGAGGACCCAGGTCCTGGACTGTGACAGCAGGCGTGGGCAGGGTGGTCACTTGATGGTCCATAGCTCTGCTCCTGGTGGTGGTGGGGCACGACCTCACAGAGTCACAGAATCCCAGGGGTTGGAAGGGACCTGGAAAGCTCCCCCAGCCCAACCCCCCTGCCAGAGCAGGGGCACCCAGAGCACATCACACAGGAACGTGGCCAGGGGGGTTGGAATGTCTCCAGAGAAGGAGACTCCACAGCCTCTCTGGGCAGCCTGGCCCAGGGCTCTGGCACTCTCACACCAAAGAAGTTCTTCCTGAGATTCACAGGGAACCTCCTGGGCTCCAGTTTGCACCCACTGCCCCTTGTCCTGTCACTGGACATCACTGCACAAAGCCTGGCTCCATCTTGACCTCCATCCACACCCTCACCCTTCTCTTCTCTCCTCCCCAGCAACTCTGCGGCTCCTACGTCTTCATCATCTTCACGGTGCTGCTCGTCCTCTTCTTCATCTTCACCTACTTCAAGGTGCCAGAGACCAAGGGTCGGACCTTCGACGAGATCGCCTCGGGTTTCCGGCAGGGAGGGACGAGCCAGAGCGACAAAACCCCGGATGAATTCCACAGCTTGGGTGCTGACTCCCAGGTCTAACCCACCCTCCCCAGCCTGGGGTGGGTTCGTTTTTAAACCCTTTGTACAGACACCGGGGACCGAGGCCGTGGGGCCCGACCCCGCTCCGGGCTCCCCCGCCGGCTTCTCGGGGACAGACTGACCTATTTTATTATTATTTTTATTTTTATTGGGTTGTTTGTTTTGTTTTTTCCCCTCCCTGCTAGAAACCATTTTCCCCCTCATGTTTTTAGCTGGTTTCTTGTCCAGGATTTCAAAGCCACCCCCTGTTCCCCAGCCCCCCCAGCGGGAGCTTTTTACCGACACGTTTTCGACGAAGAAATCACGTAGCAGAAGGTTTTTAAAGCTGGAACTTTTTTAACGTTCTAATCTTAGGAAAAAAAAAAATCATGTAAAATTGACTAAATCTCAACCAACTCTCTCTATATAATTTTTTTTTTTTAAGAAAAACAAACCAACCCCACAGTTTTTGGGTTTTTTTTAAAGCGTTCTCGCTGGTTTTGACGCCCCCGGCGGGTTGGTGGATGGTGGTGGGTCAGGAGCCTTGTGAGGCTGCAGGATGTCTCTGCTGGTGGCTTCTCCCTCTCCTTTGCCTGAATTCCACCCAGGAGAGGGGGAGAGCCTTTTTGGGGGGGTGGGAAGGGCTCTTGTTTTTGGTTTAATCTCGGCAATATTTGCCTGACACGAAGCACCGGCGGAGCCAAATCCCCCCTCAGATCCATCGCCCCGCGGCTCCATCCGTTCCCTGCTCTGTGTATAGACTGAAAAATATTTATATTATATATATTTTGTTCAATGGTTGTTAATAGTAGATGTTTTAAGTTATAGCGTTTCTGATTTGACAAGCAAAAAGTACTGTAAATATTCTGTATTCACGTTGTATAATGTACACAAAAAGGTACAGAAGCAAAGGGTTAGTTTCTATAGCCATTGAGGAGCAGCTTGGACAGGGTTAGGATGACTTTTGTATCGTTCATTACCTGCACTGTAGTTGTACCTATTGCACTGAAGTTCAGGCTGTAGTAAGTTAAAAAAAAATAGGAAAAAAAAACAAACAAGAGAGAGGAATACTGTCCTTTTCCAACAAAACTGAACAAAAACTCCCCCTCACAAAGCACGTCCCCCCCCTCCCTGCCTGCAGCCACAGCTGCCCCATCCCCCCAAGCCACAGACTGGCTGGTTTTAAATAGCATTCTTCTTTTTTTATTTATTTGTCTGGTTTGGAAGTGGCCACACTTGGAAGAAAAGAAAGGTGTCGGGGTGGGGGAAGAAAGAGAAAAGTCCCCTGTGCTGAACTGGCCTGTAGGTGCAGCACAGCCCCTTCCCCCTGCCCCGCGTGTGGGCTTTGTGTGCAACAGATCCCTGCAAAGAAGTGCCAAGAGGAGGGTGGGTGTGAGGTGTGTGACAATAAAGGAGAATGTGCAGCAACCCCCCTGTCCTGTGCCTTTTATTCCGGCTCAGCCAGGCTTCCCCTTCCCCTCACCCACCTCTGGGGGCTGGGGGGTGGGTGGTTCTGCCCTCTTCGGGCCTGGTGCTGCGGGGGACCCCTGTGTCTGGGGACGTGCCTGGCAGAGTGTTCCCTCCTTTTGGGGTTTATCTGCTCCCTCTGGAGCTCCTCACTCCGGATTGGAGCCACCCATGGAGAGAGACAAGTGCTTGCAGGGATCAGTGGGTCCCCCCCAGGCCCCCCTGGTTTGAGTGTGTGTCCCTGCAAAGCTTCTCCTCCCTGGGAACAACCCTCCAGCACCTCCCTCTGCAGACACCCTGGGGGTGCAGCCTTGGGCCCCACCACCTGCAGTGGGTGCTTGGGGGGGGGTCCC